TATTTATCATTCATCATCAGTCATTGTTGATGTTAATTATGTTATGCAGTTATGTCCAGGCAGCTGCTGTTCAATAGCAGAGCACACACACACACACATGACCACTGCAGATGTCTTTACTCTAACGTTACCTTGCCGATTCTCGCTCAGCTGTTTCTCGAACTCCTCGAAATCAGACATGGTCAGATGTGACGGATCAGTCTCTCATGTGAGTCTCGGCTCATAAACACAGGAACTGAACACTATAGTGGTCCGCTCTCTCATCTGATAGCGGTGACGCGATGTCAACATGTGCTGAAAACGTTTGTTTAGGAAATCAGTCCTATATTTGATAACAGAGTCAGACAGGGAAGCTACACTGCAGCTGGTCTGGTAGGTGGGCGTGGCTTAGCACTGTGGGGCGTGCGTCGCCGTTATTCTAATTGGCTGACACTGCTGTCAGTTACAGAGCCAGGCGGGTACGCGTCTTCTAATTGGTCTACACTTTTGTTACCCTTTCAAGCAGGAAGGAACAATCATTATTAGCAGTTAAACCATAGACATAATAAATACATGTCTTATTACAATAACAGAGGCTGTGTCATAACCCCTCTACCCTTAGGTAAATATTTTATTATTATGTAGGCCTAGAGTATTTCTGGACATGATATGTCATTTAAGAATGTTTTCTAGGCTAAAGCTTTAGGTGTCAAATAAACAAATAAAAAAAGCTTATTACTCTCAAAGGGAACATAACACCTTCTGCTTCAAGATTAATCTCAGGATAAATATTAAGGCATAATTATAGCCAGAAATAAACGTGTAAATGACAACCCCAAATAGAAAAGTCTTTAAAAATATTTCAGTTGTAGTTGCAAAAAGACTTGACCTAGAGAGGGATGGGCAACGATGTGTTTAGATTATATGTGAGTGTACTGTGTATAATTTTTGTATTTATAAATACACACACATGCATGTATATATTTAAGAAAAATTAGTTATTAACATATATTTATATTTATATATAAATTATGTATTCGTATGTATACGTAAGAATATATACATGCAAATATTTCTTAATATATACATATTTATGCATATGTATGTATTTTTATAAACACAGTATTGTACACACTACACACACATATATTAATGTAAACACAAACTTTTGGATGTGATTAATCGCGATTAATCGTTGCCCATCCCATAGATAATCTGATCACATAGACACAGCAATTAACTTCATTCTGCAATTTCCCTGACTTGGGGACACTTTTGCTCTAAATAATGTGAGCTTTTCTACTTTTATATGGCCATTTATTTAACAACATTTCTGAAATCACCAATTATTTAATTTGGAGCAATTTCTTTTATGTTAAATAGATATTTGTATGAAACATTTTGTTAAATTATAGATTGGTTGGAGAAAAAATTATATTCACAAACAAATAATTTACATTACAGTAATTTATTTTTTGGCTAAGTGTAATTTTCCAAACACTGAATATGTTCACCAGTTGTTCCTTTAGACTCGTATATGAAACTCAGGTTGGAATATTTTGTCTTTCACCATAATATTTGCTTATTTTACTTATTATTTATTTTCCCAAAACAGGTTTTTATAATTCTGCATGTTTTGTCAGTAACTAAAAATGTAAAGCATGGCATAGGAATCATTGCATTGATTTTCTTATGCACATATTAACAAATATGCACATGATCAAAGTTGATTTCTACCCTTTTCCCACCCAACAACTGGTGATACTAAATTCCATGAGAGAAATAGAGACTTTAAACTGGTTAATGGTGTCTCAAACACATGCAAACACATCAGATTTGAAATTTTCTTTCAGCTGTTTTCCAAATTATTATTAGTTCAACTTACGTACATTGGACTTTAAGCTTTGTATATACCCTGGATACCGGTAATTAATTAGTTTTGTTCTGAAATCATGGTGAATTTGACTTTTCTGAGGAGGAAGAATCAGTTCAGTCTCAGTTCAAAGACTCAACCCATTTAAAGCTTTACTTCTAAACTTAACAACAGTTTCCCCACGACAGCTTCAGCTGTGGGCTATTAAAAGCACTCAAACCCTGCAGTGTGTGTTTAGAGCTGAGCAAGTGAGCTGACGATCTCGATTCATTTAATCCTAAAGGACACGTTTAAAGACTCGTTTCAGTGGTAAGTGATGAAGAACGATATGAGCTCTGTCTAGTTGTGTTGACTGTGTCCTGTTGTGCTCTTTTGATAAAACATATTACCTCAGTGTTGTTAATAATGACCAAAAATATTGTCAAAACCAAATGATTTTTATTTTGTTGTTTCTTAGTCAGTCCTGCAGTAATACAAATGTAGGCTGGGAATTCTTGGCTAATTCTGGAATATATTTAGAGCTTTTCTTCACACAGAGCTTCCATGACTGACTTTAGAGAGTTTCACTTTGTGACTTAGTTATTGTTTAATAAAAAAGTAATATATAGACTGTCACAAATATTGGTGCTTTTTCAGCAATATATAAATAAACTACTCTTATTTTAAGCCAAAATATAATAGAACTATTACTACATTACTGACCAACAAAGGCAAAATGCAGTAAATTCAAACATAATCCGGTTTCATAGATTACACTTTGTCCTGTTATAGACATGGTTGTCTAAAATAAGATTCAGAGAGTTTGATATAAAATTTAAGTCAATCGATAACTTTATAAATGGCTATAATTCTTATTAATGTATATTATTTTTCCTTTATTTAAGGTCTAACATTACTGAAACACCATGGGTATAAGTGATATTATGGTAAGAAATTATGTTTTATTTTATAAAGCATTAAAGCAAATGTATAAGGCCTGAATGACTTTCTTTCTTATTGTTTTTCCACAGTGACATAAGAGTGAGTTGTAAAATTTAAATGGATAGTATTTGATGAAATATTTGAATATTTACAGGTACATTGGCAAATCTAAGGACAGTTTGAGAGATTGCTGAGATTTTGTCTGAAACTCTTTTATGAGATTACTGGGGTCTTTTTCTCAAGAGAAACCTCTGAGAAATAAAACATGTTAAGCATGTTAATCCAGAATGCATGTCAAATGGACTGTCTATTGGTAGTGTTTTTGACCTTTTTGGAGCTTTTGAGATCCTGGTTGCAGTGAAATCCCATTACAGGACATTCTTCAAAACAGTCATCGAAACTGTATAATATTATATTTTTTGCAGAAAAGGTTTGAAATTACGTTAGACTGAGCAAATGTTAAAATATTTCTTATTTTAATGTCTCTTTCAGAGGCTGGATGTGACCTCAGTTTGGCCTGTGCTCTCAGTGGTGGTCGCAGCTGGTGTCTTTTATCTCTACAGTCTGATACTCAGGCATTTAGCCAAGACAACTGTGAGGAACAAAGTGGTGCTGATTACCGATTCACTCTCAACACTTGGAAATGGTGCTATACTTTTTCAGAACAACTGGATCATTCCTGTCATGCAGTACCTTAAAACGAATATGTCTTTATTGTAATTTAAGGAAGTAGTTCTATAAAAGGGTAAATCAGAAATGTGTAATATAGAAATATGATCTCAACTTTATTACTTATAATTTGGCATGACAATTTAGCAGGATAAAAACAGAGAGCTAAGTTAGCCATTGCTCATTGAGGGATTAAGAGTTTAAAACTCTCAATCCTCAAAAAACTCTCAAAATTGATAGATTGAGATTAAAACTGGGAGAGCAAAACAAACAACAAAGTGATAATTGAAAACTCATATATACAATTTGTAATTTTAGTATATTGTGACATATTGAGGATTAGAAAATGTACTGCATGTTAGGAATGATAGAGTGATGAACCATAGATGATATATGTGTGCCGATGAATTGAATATTGATTGGTTGAACAGTTTTTATTTTCAGAATGTGCAAAACTCTTCCATACTGGTGGAGCCAGACTGATCCTTTGTGGAAATAACTGGGAAAAGTTGGAGACTTTTGCTGAGCATCTGATGAGTGAATCAGATCCAGCACTTGTGAGTCCAGAATTATCATTAACAATATGACAGAACTCTATATTTGTTAAAGTTGTGGTTGTAATTTGCGCTGTGACTTCAATTCTAACTTTCCTGCTTAGACGTTTCCACCCAAACTGGTGGAGCTGGACTTCAGTAACATGGAGAGCGTTCCTGAGATCATCTCTGAGATCCTGGAGTGTTACGGCTGTCTGGATGTCCTCGTCTTCAACACCAGCATGAAGGTGAAGGCTCCTGTACACAGTCTGTCCCTCCAGATGGACAGGATTGTCATGGACGTCAACTACTTTGGGCCCATCACACTGGTTAAGGGTAACATGTAACTCCCACACAGCGGTCAACAATAACTCTCAGTCGTGTTCAAGCGTTTTAAACTGATCTTATTCACGGTCACAGGCGTCCTTCAGTCGCTGATCTCCAGAAGAACGGGTCACATTCTTCTAGTCAACAGCATTCAGGGGAAACTGACCGTCCCCTTCCGCGCCACCTGTGAGTTTTAAAGGGATCAATTCGGTCATCATTTACTCACATTCATCTCGCTCCAAACATGCATGCTGTTATTTTCGTAAGTTTGAAGAATGATCATGCAGCTCTTTTCCAGCTTAAAGATCATTAAAATAAACTGCTCTACGGAAAACACAACAGCATATGGGTTTGAAATTACATGAGGAGTTTTACTTTTGGGTGAACTATAACTTTAATGTTCATTCAGTTAATCAGCAGCAATAAATCAATGCATATGTTCAGTGTAAGACGTTCTGCATTACTCAGATGCTGCGTCCAAGCATGCCATTCAGGCTTTCTTTGAGTGTCTGCGGGCTGAGGTTCAGGAATATGGGATAACCGTCAGCACCGTCAACCACACCTTCATAAAAACTCCAGACACAAACTCAAAGGACGAGGACGCAGCGAAAGCCATGTGGACACGTGAGTGAACGTCTCCGTCAGTTCATAGTGTAAAGATCACGGTTTGTAGCTCATAACATCTTCCTTGTGTTTGTATTGTCCACTATATTCCCCTGGACCTCCTGCTTGGACACTGACTGGAAACTGCAGACCTCAAAGTGAAGTCCTGTGGTGTGAACGCTGAAGAAATGGCCACTGAGATCCTGAAGACTCTGAGTAGCAAGAAGAAGGAGATTTTAATGTCCCACTCCTTCATCCCTAAAGCAGCGCTCTATGCCAGATCTCTCTTCCCAAACCTGTTCTTCTCCATCATGGCAGCAGGAGTCAGAAACACTGCAGCGGTGGAGATGTCTGAGGATTGAAGGAAAACACTGTGTAAAAGTGGAGAATGTGTTACTGTGCTACAATTAGAAGAGAATTCAATAAATAAATCAGCAAGATTATGGAAGTCTGTCTGTCTGTCTGTCTGTCTATCTATCTATCTATCTATCTATCTATCTATCTATCTATCTATCTATCTATCTATCTATCTATCTATCATGTGAGAGAGGAATAAACAATAAACATGATCACAGCGCCCTCTGCTGTTGTTATTGTTGAAATACAGTGTTTGGTGACGTCACATCATGGCGCGACACTTACTGTCTGTAAACTTCATGTTTCGGTTCACTGGAGGATATAAGAACAGTCAGCGACTCCTTAAACACACATGTTGTGGATCCGACGCCCCGAATCTGTGTGTGACTCACGACAGACTGAATCAGCGTTTCACAATCACTCTCGACTGCGACGGTAAGAGAAAATAACGTTATTCATTCTGTCTCAAACCATCAAAACAGCAGATTCAGTCGCGCTGATGTCCCCTAGATAGGCAGCACTCTCATAGCTGAACATTGAACATTGAAAATAAGGGAGTTTTCCCGGAATCCTTCCCCAAAATAAGGGATTTTTTTTGCACAATTCTTACCCACAAACTTTAAAATAAAGCACTAATCCTTAAAAGTCTAAAGAGTTCATAACTAACGTAAGCCTATGTGTGAGAGAAAAAGAGGCAGTGTCATTTAAAGAAAAAAAAAATCTACATTTGGATTAGCCGTGTGTTGCTCTTGCATTTGGACAACAATTTCTACTGTTAGCCTATCACACATCTTCTAAAATCCGCAAAATAGGGAAGTGGGCTGTCTGTTTATTTCAATTACATTTACACATTTTGTGTAGCTTTAAAGAGCCTATTTAGCCTGATGGTGGACCATCACACTATCCTATCTTTATATCCTCCTGAGGCCCAGAACGGGTTTTTTTTTCTAGTTTTTTTTCTTCTTCGTGTAATCACATTGTTAATATGAAACAAATGAAAAAAATAAAATATATTTTATTCATATATTTGAAAATCGATTTATAATAATTATTATTTGTTTAAATTACATTGATATCTGAATTTATGTAAAAACCTAGACTTTCAAACATCAAAATGTAATTTATTAATATGTATTCGAGTACAAAATGACATACAGCTAGCCTAAACATAGTTTCCTATTTTTTATTTTTATTTTTTTGCCTGGAAACGCAAAGAAATTCCAGGCAAAAAACACGCTTGCCTGTCGCGTGAAAAATAGCCGTCAGTTCTATTTCTAGCATGCACGCGTTTTCTGGAGACGCGCGTGTCACGCAGGCAGCGTGCAAGCTCTAATCTGTTAACATGGGAGCCGAAATAAAAACGGACACGCCACGCAGCCAGTGTGTCTCCGGCCAGTGCGCGCGTCACCGCATCCGAGGATAAACGACTTCAAGCCGAATCTGTCCGAGCTCGTACGTCTCACACAATCAGAGAGTAACGGGATAGGCCTATTTTACGGGAAAATACTAAAACGGGAAGACAGCGGGAAAAGAGCTAAAATACGTGAGAAACCTGGAAAAAACGGGAGGGTTGACAGCTGCTCTAGGTTATGAGCCAGTCTGCATCACTGATAACAATATCCCGGTGTGTGTGTGTGTGTGTGTGTGTGTGTGTGTGTGTGTGTGTGTGTGTGTGTGAGAGCAGGAGCAGCGAGTAGTGCAGTGCTGAAGTACACTATCACACATGATCAGCTGGTGGAGTTGATGTCTACTGAGGTCCCTCAATCTCACAGGGGTAAAGGTGTTGCTGCACACCTGGCGAAGGTCAGACCGCTTTACACTCCCTCACTTACTCAACTTCTGCTGTTTCCTGCAACTGAATCATCTACTTCTTTTCTTCTTCAGGCGGCTCTGGATTTCGTTGTTGAAGAAAATATGAAAGTGAGGATCTCCTGTTGGTACATTAGGAAATATGTGGATGAAAATCAACATCTTGGATACCAGGCTCATATTAAAGATCAATAAAGGCAGAATCAAACCTTATTTATCAGATTTTACCTCTGTGTTTATTTTATGATCGTTTTGTGTAGGTTTTACGTCAACCATATAAGTGACCAATCCACTGCCAACAGCCTAGCAACCACCCAGAAAAACTTAGTAACAACTCCCTAGTTACTATACAAAACACAAAACCGCCTGGAACACACAAGCAGCTGACAGACTATATTATTATTTTATTAATGTACACTACAAGCCAAATGTTTGGAATAAACAAGATAACAGTAAAATTAGTAATGTTGTAAAATATAAATTATTGCAATATATATATATATATATATATATATATATATATACAAAAGGTGAATGTTTGTTGCAGAGTAAACACTGAAGATAGCAACGTGCCGGAATGTTTGCTTCTGTTCATTTGTTTGTAATTCACTTTGCACTTTTTGCACTCCAGGAAAATCCAGGAAGTAAAAACATGTTTTGACAGATAATTCAGTGTTTGGCTGTTCTTGCCTGTCTTACAATATTTTGCAATAGAAAACCTGTTCTAAATTCAAAATAACTGTTTCTAAATGTAATGTAAATGTAATTTATTCCTGTGATCAAAGCTGAATTTTCAGCATCATTGCACTGATTCAATGTGTGATATTGTCCTTTCTGTTGATGTTGGATTTATTATAGTGTCTTATTAACTGTGTGTTTTTAATTGGTAAACTGTCATGGGAACATTTTTAGAAAGCTTTTAGTTTTAGCTTTTACCTAGAGATGCACCGATGTGAAAATTTGTGGCCGATACCGATAACCGATATTAACATTGCTGTTATGGCCGATACCGATATTTACCGATGTCGATATCCCTGTATAGAAAACACATAGCGAGGATTAGGGCTGCACGATATTGGTAAAAAATGACATTGTGATATTTTATTTTTCTGCGATATATATTGTGATATAAAAACAATTTCACCAGATTACTTGAATTGCTCTATTTGGAAAGAATGAATCATTCTAGAATGACTGGGGTAGTTTTGTCATGGAGTAAATCCGCAGAAACTAATATTAATAGAATGTTAACAAAATTTGTTAACATTCTATTAATCTATTAACCTTACACTTTACAATAAGGTTCCATTTATTAAAGTGTGTATGGAACCTTATTGTAAAGTGTAAGGTTAATAGATTAATAGAATGTTAACAAATTTTGTTAACATTCTATTAATATGCACTGTAAAAAGTGAACAGTTGGATCAACTTAAAAAAATTACTTCAATTGGTAACACCTAAAAAAATTAAGTTCTCTCAACTTAAATTATCACATTTTCTCAACTTAATTTTACTAGGTCAATCACACTTAAATTATTTGAGTTCACTCAATCCTATTATTTACATTAGTCTGACTTAATTTCACTGCATTCCAACTTAAATTTATTAATTTTTCCTACAGTTGGATCAACTTAAAAAAATTACTTCAATTGGTAACACCTAAAAAAAATAAGTTCTCTCAACTTAAATTATTTTATTTTCTCAACTTAATTTCAGGTCAATCACAGAAGACTCAAATTGCTGGAGAAATATTTATTAACATTAATTCATTTTATACACCATCGGTATTTTTCATATTACAAACTTTGAGAATTTTTTTTACAAACATTTGTTGTGCCAATGAAATTCCATTTACTGACACACTTGTTCCATTAACAGTTTTTTTGCAAAGTTGCCTTTGCACTGAATTATGCTCAAAACTGCATAAGCCAACATATGTATAAAAATAAATATAAAAACATAGTGGTTATGCCCTTAAAGGGTTAGTTCACCCAAAAATGAAAATTAAGTCATTAATTACTCACCCCCATGCTGTACCAACCCCGTAAGACCTTTGTTCATCTTCGGAGCACAAATGAAGATATTTTTGATTAAATTTGAGAGCTGTATCACTACCACATAGACTGCCGGGACTGGCTCTTGACGGCCCAGAAAGTCAATGAAGAAAATGTTTAAATATTCCATGTGACTACAGTGGCTCAACTATAAGTTTATCAAGCGACGAGAATACTTTTTGTGTGAAAAAACAAACAAAAATAACGACTTTATTCTACTATTCCTTTTCTTCCTTGTTGGCCTGAAATGACACTTCAATGCGATTTCCACGACGCATGCGCGTGAACTGAACTGAAGTAGTTGAAGGAGATCGCAATTCTCGCGCATGCGTCGTGGAAATCGTATTGATTGGTAGTTATACAGCTCTCAAATTTAATCAAAAATATCTTCATTTGTGTTCCGAAGACGAACGAAGGTCTTACAGGGTTGGTACAGCATGGGGGTGAGTAATTAATGACTTAATTTTCATTTTTGGGTGAACTAACCCTTTAAATGAGCTACCTAAAAACAATTAAATGGATAGTTCACCCAAAAATGGTTCAAGTTGCTCCAAACCTGCATGAGTTAGTTTCTTCTGCTGGACACAAAAGAAGATGTTTTGAAGAATGTTGGTAACCAGACAGTTGACTTCTGAATTGTTTGACTGTTGACTTCCAAAGATACAGGAAGTCAATGGGTGCCTTCAATTGCCAGGTCACCAACATTCTTCAACAAATCTTCTTTTGTGTCCAGCAGAAGAAACTAACTCATGCAGGTTTGGAACAACTTGAACCATTTTTGGGTGAACTTTCCCTTTAATCTTTCAAATAGAACCATACTGTATGAGAAGAGCTTTACAGGTAATGCCCTAAATTTAAAGTGAATCAATCAGATTCAAACAAACAACTACACATTCATACTAGACGTATGAATGAACAAATGGATAGTCTACAAACATAAGAAAACAAATTAAACATCCAACATTCTTTCAAACACAGACTAGACATATGCACATTCAAACATTACTGCAAGTTCACTGTTGTCTACTGAAAAGACTTTGAACTTTTAGTGACATCTTTTGCTGTTCAAGCTGCAAGAGAACTTTCTGGAATACCTCGAAAGTAAAACGAAGCGGTTTTGGGTAAGCCAGATTGATGATGTATATCATCCCGAGAAGCAAGGCACAAGCTGATGTGAACGAAGGCAGTTCATTCAAAACTTTAACACCCTCGATGACGACACCTATGTCAGCCGGTGGTTCGTGATGTTCTCCCCCCTCCTTCCGAATAACATACACCGCCATGGTGAACTGCTCCAGCTCACCCTCCCAATCATCTCGCTGCTTATCCTAAAGAAATGTACATAAAAAAAATAAATAAATAAACATTTTGCAGTCATAACTACAAAACACAAATTTAAACTTTCTGAAAAATCTAAATAGAACATGCAGAATTTCAACTCACAAGGTACTCCTTGATAAGGTCTTGAGGATTTTCGTTAACACTTTAAAATAATGGTCCGTAGTTAACAAGTAGCTATGCAGGAAGTAATAAGTAGTACTGCATTAAAGGGTTAGTTCACCCAAAAATGAAAATTCTGTCAGTATTTACTCAACCTCATGTTGTTCCAACCCCGCAAGACCTTCGTTCATCTTCGGAACACAAATTAAGATATTTAAGATATTAAAATCGCTCCTGCATACAGTCCATAGGCTTCTTGAGGGACTGGCTCTTGCTGTCCCCGAAAAGTCATTAAAGACATCGTAAAAATAGTCCAAGTGACTACAGGGGCTCAATCTTAAGTTTATCAAACGACGAGAACACTTTTGTGCGCAAAAAAACAACAAAAATAACGACTTTATTTCAACTATTCACTTCCTTCTCCATGAGCCTGTAAGTCAGTTAGCGTAGTGTGATTGCGTAGAGCTACGTCACACGTAGGCTCACTATTGGCCGACGCTGGTCATGTGTGTGTGATGCGTGTGACGTACAATGACAGAAACTTACGCTATTAAACTAGTAACCTGACTCGCGCAGAGGGAGAAATAAACGAATAGTTGAAATAAAGTCGTTATTTTTGTTGTTTTTTTGCGCACAAAAGTGTTCTCGTCGTTTGATAAACTTAAGATTGAGCCCCTGTAGTCACTTGGACTATTTTAACGATGTCTTTAATGACTTCGAGGACAGCAAGAGCCAGTCCCTCAAGAAGCCTACGGACTGTATGCAGGAGCGATCTTAATATCTTAAATATCTTAATTTGTGTTCCGATGATGAACGAAGGTCTTACGGGGTTGGAACAACATAAGGGAGAGTAAATACTGACAGAATTTTCATTTTTGGGTGAACTAACCCTTTAACACCGAAGTTAATACTATTAACTAATATGGAAGCAATATTAACTAAGCAGTAAGTAATAGGTAATTTAGTACAAAGGTAGTTCCTTGGTAGGTATTTGATCGTTACTAAAGAAATATATCCTCATTGAGAACTACTTGCGAACTAAGAATTAATAATCAATTAATTACTAAATCACAAAAGTAACATATCTAAAAAGTGAACAATTGTGGGGGTTTTATACTCTTAACATGATCATAACATTTCAGAAGCATGTGCCTCAAATGGGTTCTTTGTGGAAACCAGTTTATGAAGTTTATATATCCCCCCAAATACATTAGCTAGGTTGAGATTGTGACTACTACTCTTGCCAGGATGGACGCATGTTCTCTGTTTATTTAAAACTTAAACATAAAATAATACTAATAAAGACAGTTTTAAAAAAAATAAACCTTAAATAACTAGGAAGTGATGCTGACACTCTCATGATTGGATCAGTCCACTATTATAACTATGTTACAGTAGCTGCCTAAGGAGGACTTCTTTTTAGGACATGAATATAAACATTGATGTTCACTTGTCAAAAACAATTTGTATCTTTAATGAAGAAATTGGCTGCATTTATGTTACAATAAGCGCAAAACCACATCTTCCAGATTACAGTGTTTGTTTGATTATTAGTGCCTCACAGAACCTGTACAGTATGTGTCAAATATAAAATTAAATAACTTGTGTAAACATTGTGGGATGACAAGGTAACGCTTGTAGTTAGTTAGGAGTTAACATGTTTTTCACTAATAGGATCACTAGTAGCTTGTAACGCTTAAGTAGTTATTGATGAGTTAACAGGTTTTTCACAAATGATACAAGTTATTTAATTTTATATTTGACACATACTGTACAGGTTCTGTGAGGCACTAATATTCTAACAAACACTGTAATCTGGAAGATGTGGTTTCGCGCTTATCGTAACATAAATGCAGCCAATTTCTTCATTAAAGATGCAAATTGTTTTTGACAAGTGAACATCATGTTTATATTCATGTCCTAAAGAGAAGTCCTCCTCAGGCAGCTACTGTAACATAAAGTTATAGGTCTTTGGAGTCTGAGATATATGTGACTGACATTCAATAGAGCTCATAATAGTGAACTAATCCAATCATGAGAGTGTCAGCATCACTTCCTAATTATTTAAGGTTTATTTTTAAAAACTGTCTTTATTAGTATTATTTTATGTTTAAGTTTTAAATAAACAGAGAACATGCGTCCATCCTGGCAAGAGTAGTAGTTCTCAATGAGGATATATTTCTTTAGTAATAATCAAATACCTACCAAGGAACTACCTTTGTACT